TAAGCAATAAAAATCAGAAAAATATTCAGATAACCAGATTGAATCGGAAGTCTTCAAAATTTTGAAGGAAGGTAGTTTGGGGCTAGAAATATTATATTGATATTTTTAATTAGTGGAATTTGATGTGAATTAGTGGAATTTGGAGGAATTTTCATGTTAAAGTGGAATAGTGAAATTTAGTGACTAAATCAAAATTTTGGAAAATTGGAAGGGCGAAGATGAAATTGTAATATTATACTTTTATATTTATTTAAGGATATTAAAATGGAGATAAAAGGATGACATGGTGGTAAAAATTAAGATTCTTTAAGGGTAATTTTGACTTTTGGGCTAAAATGAATTTTAATTCATTTTAAATTGGGTTTTTAAGGAGATATTTTGTAAGAATTTTCTTGAATTCTCAGTTCATATTCTTCAACCTGCCGTGACTCCATAGCCAAGGTGAGCAAGGTTTCTTTTTCATTTCTGGTTTATTTTAGTGAGAATTTGGACTAAACTGTGAAATAAGAAAATGTTCTACACTTAATTCTCTACAAATTGGTATAGATATTTCATTGTTTCATGCTTAAATCGTGAAGTGGGTATTTATAGTGGTTGAAGAGAAAGTTATATTCACTTGAAATAAGATTAAAATTTGATTTTAGGAGTGTTATGGAAGCATAATCAAGCATGAATATTGATTGGAATCAAGTAGAAGTTCATGAATAAGGTTTGATCACTAAGTTTTTTCATGAATAAATGTTGAGTTTGAAGTGTATTTGATATGAAAATAAATTGGAATGGTTGAAATTGATGTGTAGTTGTTGAAATTGAGCTTGAAACAAATTTAGGGACTATTTAGTAAAGATTCAAAGTATTCGTCCTATAAGGAAAATTGTTGGAAAAATTTTCAAAAATTTATTAAGGGCTTATAATGATTATGGAAGTGATCTTATGTGCTTGAAATCATGTTTTGGATTAAATTGAAGCTTGTATAAATTAGAGGATCATTTTGTAAATTATGGAATTATAAGGATCCATGAGGAAAATGACAAAGTTACGGTCCCATACTGAAATTTATTATTAGTGTGATGAAACATTGAATTTAGGATTGATTTAGAATGGTTGGACTTGATTAGAAATGAATGTTGGATGATGATTCAAGCTTGAAAACAAATTGGAGACCATTAGGGGACTACTTTGTAATTTTCAGCCATAAGGAGGGATAATTGGAAAATTTTAATCGAAATGTCCTAGGGATTAGATTGGATTTAAGGATGATTTTCATGCCTTGGAATTGAGTTTTGGATCATTTTGGAACCATGATAAGTTAGGAGACCATTTTCATAATTTTGGAATAATGGAAGGATCAAGTTGTAAGCATTTGAAAATTTCAAACACTATGCTGGAAATTAGTAATATTAGTAATGGAATGTGGATTTTGGATTGAAATGAAAAGTTGTGTATTTTAGGGGGTTTATTAGGGAGTTTCGAAAAGTTAGTGGTGAAAATTGCAAGATTACAATACTAATGTATTAATTGAAAAGTGTTGGATATAGTAGGAAATTAATGAATGATATGGATTAAAGTGAATTATTAAAGGATTTTGAAAGATAATTTAATAGGGTTAAGGTCGATTTTGGTTTAGTAAGAAATTAGTATTTAACGTACATGAATAGTATTTTTAGAATTTTGATTTGAATTAAAATTTATTATATTAGTACGAGTACTAATATATGTTTGAAATTATATATGTTGGGAAATCGATTGACATGTAGATTGTGACCGAAAGTAAGCTTAAAGTGAATTAAAAAAAAAGATAAAACCTTACAGTGAAATGATCGTAGTATTAAAGCTAATAAGACAACATGTGAGTGCAACTAACTTTTTATATAAAACGATATGAGGACGACTTGCGATGAGTCAACCTCAATCGATATGAAAAGAAAATGTTTTCAAATCGTATTTTAAAGATACTCATTTTATTATTTATTTTATAACATGTGAATATTTTGGGTATAAACTGCCCAACACTGATTTTTATGAGATTTTTACTTATATTTGATTATATGGATGTTTTATATGGTGAACAATATATGATTTTAAATTACGCTCATTGTATGAGACTAAGAGTTAGTGGTACAAATTCATATATGATTTTAAATTATATGGAGTTATTACTGATTATTTTTTACTAATTAATGATATTGACACTATATGTGCACCATAGGTTCACGATGTTGTGACATTGTGAAATCCATATCTGATTATTGGTACAGTGATGTTGTGTTTTACAGTACATGTACATTACTGTTACTGGCACTGGAAGTACAAACTGTTACTAATAAAAAAAACTGCAAAAAAAAAGTGCATACTTATTTACTGACTCACGTACCATATATTCTCATGATGATACAATGAGAAATAATACGAATTGAAATAGAGTAGTACATAAATGGATTTTACACAGTATTGTTGACTGTCATACTGTTTAAGTAAAACGCATACCAGCATCATTTCGGGGAAATCAAATCCGACACCAGATTCAATAAGGATGTCATGTTTTGTTGTATTTGTAGTTAGTGACATGCATATTAATGATGTTTCAATTGCTTTAATATTTATATTAGTTATATAATGATTTATAGCATAATATCTAAAATTGTTTTAAAATAGGTAATATTAAGTACTATAAATAAAATAAATGAATATTATAATATTAAATTATGTTTTTAAATATTACATTACATTTTATGTGATTATTACTTTTAAAAATAAATAAATGCATTTTAAGATTTTAAAAAAACCAAAATTTTAATATTTTCAAAAAAAATATTTTATACGATTGGTGTGACATCTATAATTCGTATGCGATGACGTACATGAGTTAAGAGTGTCACATATTGTGCAAATAGATTAATCATAGCAAATCACATTACAGGATAAAATGTCATTTGTCCAATGCTGGTAACTAACCAAGAACCTTGTACAAGAATCAAAGTTCATCTTCCTTCCATAGGAAGCAGATGTGATTGAATTAAAGAACTCCGAAGATAACATTAAAATAATAGGTCATCAAGAAATTTTATTTCATGATACTTCTTATCTAATATAAATATTTACTTATTAAATAAACTTAATAATCAATTAATTTTTAATCACCAAAATTCAATTTAATTACCATTAAAATTACATTTAATTATCAACTAATATTTAAGTCAATGCATAAGAAATGTGATATATGTAATTTAACCATTTTTAAAATATTAATAAAAATGATATCTTAAATATATATTTTTAAGACGAGATAATTATATGAATTAATTGTTTATATTCAGAACCAAAAAGGATACATTTTCTTTTAATAATTATATTGATTTATGGTCTAACATAACTTAATGGTGAGGCATAGAAATCATAAAACAGTATTTATACATTAGTAATTCTACATTAATTGACTGCTAATATAACTCTATTACTTAGCCGCCTTCCTCTTTTCCTTTTTTTTCCCCCTTCCGTTTTCTTAAAATACTTTCGTGCCTTCTTCCTTTTTTTCTCTTAATTTTTGTTGAATCAATAGTGACATTAATCTTGATATTGGTTATAGACTGTTGGCGATTGTTATTATTTTAAAAAAAAAGTACATAGATTGTATTAGCCATAAAAGATCTTATTTAGAACAACATCCGAAATACATTCAGGACAATCATAACTAAAATATAACGGTGAACTACTAGTGACATTACCTGATGAAAAAAAGTGAACCTAGAAAATCTAGAGAGTATTCAAAGCGGACAAATGAAAAATCAATCTCCCTTTAATCGCAATCTCATCCTATCATCACAAGAAGAATTGAGAGAGGACAAAGGACTGGTCTTCAAATAGAAGTCGTGGCCCATATAAATAAAACACGACCAAGAGATGGCATCCCGAGAAGAGTGAGATCAGAAATAGAGTATACAGTGAAATATCTAATACACGCAGTAGACTTTTGGCGAACGAAGAAATTAGTAGTTTTCCAGAAAAACACTAATTGGCACATTATATCTGAAAGTTATAATAATATCATATACAAGCAAGCGAAGAAACCAGACATAAAAGAAAACAACCAAGGATTCTCGTAGAAACAGAGACCAAGAAGAAGACCAGTGAAAAAAACATGCACTTGTGATTATTAATTCTTTTGTTTTTTTATACGACACGTGTTTTCTATATTCTTATGACACGATCATTATCCATTTTGGTACGTATTTCACATACCTTTGCAGTCATTTTGGTGCTCTCACGAAGACACTCACGACATTTGTTTTCTGATTGATTTGTCAATGGTCATATATAGTCATATTCACTATTTGGTAAAAAGATTGGTGATATAATCAGAATTGTGTAACGAAATAACCTGTCATATAATTTGGTTTGCTCATCACTCATTTATCACTTCGCAAAGCGTCTTGTTCGACATAAACATGGAGTTTTTATTAATTCTTTTGATGTTGGTTGTCGTTATCAAAGAAGGTTTCGATTTTTTGTATATTTGGATTTAATATTTTTATTTTTATGAGTTTGGTGACTATTGTTCTTGTATTTCTCTTCCTTCAATATATATATATATATATATATATATATATATATATATATATATATATATAACTCTATTACTTTTTTATACTTTTTATATGATACCTCCTTCATAAATTTTGAATAACCAGCCAATCATTCTAGAGCTGATTGGTCGATGATGCTTCCTGGGGTTGAAGTAACTGAGTTGAACGGATCAGTTGTTTGCCAATTTTCAATGTTCATTGTCTTGAATTGCACTTTAGAAGTTTACCCATTTCTGAACATGGCGAAACTTGGCCCGGGTTGATGATTTTGGTGGATCAGGTTCCATACAAATGTTGCAGGCAATCGATTTTAAGTACAATCGGTTGAACTGTTTAAGAGATGAGATGAATGAGCAATGTCAGGGATTGCCCTGGAATCAGATAAAAAGAATACTCAACAGGGTCTCATTCACATTAATAAAAATGAACAACAAGATGTTGGACTTCAAAGAAACATAAAATTGCGTGGGAGCATATAGCCGTCAAGGCATATGAACCGAGGGGTCTGAACCGACACTACTTTTCGAATCCCCATTGTAGAGTGCAGCTGACCTCTTGAACTGGAACTCGTCCATGGACTGCCTTTGGATCCTATGGAAGCCATGATTGCCACCTCTTTGTTTTGCCTTGGTAGACACGGTCATGCTCATGTAGTTTGGCCTACTGCCACTCTCCTCTGTTCCATCTGACGGCAAGATAGTGGTTCCGGAAACCGGTGTTGTCGAAGTGCATATTGAAGATGAAGCAGAACTTTCATCATAATGAAATTCGGAACATGGACTTGAAGACGATCGAGTGACCGACCTAATATGAGGAGGCTTTGCGGATATCCTAGTGGTGATATTGTTATTTCTGACATTCACTGAGCATGGTTCGGAAGATCTTGTATTCTTTCCTGAAAGGGACTCGGAACAAGTTTTCGATAGAGTTGATTCGGCAGGGTCAGAATGCGATGGTTCCATCAACCTAGTCTCCCAGGGCCTTGCTGCCATCCAACGTTCGAGCCAATTCCATCCCCAACTGTTCTTATCAAAGTCTTGGTTCTTTAGATATGGAATCGAACTATTAGTCCGGGAGCTCAAACTTGTTTTTGATCTCCATTGCTGTACATTCAAGGAACATCAATTATCTTTTTCCATGATTCAAACAAAGGTACAAATATTACACAAATTCCAGTACCTTCTGAGCAAGAGAATAAGCAAGAGTTCTTTCTCTCTTGAAGGCCCCTTTTTGCCTCATTTGTAGCTTTGTCTTAACATCCTCCACTGTCCCTTCGCTATCACACCAGCCATCCTGAATATAATAGTTTTAACAGCAAATAATGACATTTTGCAAATCAAATCGACATTGAATTAATGTTTCGGTTAATGGTACCTCAGCTTGTTTCAGGACATCGTCCTTGCTGCGGCGACCTTCTAGCATCTTCCGAACTGCCTGCCCCTCGATCGACATTCGCACACGACGAGCTCTAACACGAGCCTGAACACGGACAAGAGCTTGCATGCACCTAAGTGTCACCGCAGCCTGTTTCCTAACTTGTCTACCACGAACTAAGGCTTGAAGCCTCACGATTCCTTTTAAAGCCCTCAAAGCCCTCCTTGCCTACATGGCAAAAGAAGTAGGATGTTCCAGCAGAAACCAAATATTCCAGCAACAAGTACAACCATCATGCAGGACACAACACAAAACATAGAACAATGGAGTGAAACAACAATTTGGAGATCCAAGCAAGGTTCCAGAATAAAGTTTCTTTCACATTCCATCACATTCTCGGATACCAAACGCAGGAAGGAAAAAATTTACCAAGAAGCCACGAAAAGCAGTTTGGATGCGGATAGCAGCCCATTCTTGTCTTACAGCCCTGAAATTGTTAGGAGCTGCTCGAACTACAGTGGACATTGCAGCGAAGAAAGAATCAGCAGTCCTCAGTGAAGAATCAGAGCCTTCAGAATCTGATCTAAACTTTCCTTTGAAACCCTTCCATGAAGATCCCAAGTCCAGTGAAGAACTCCTCCATAACCTCCATTTCTTGCCCTTGCCATTCACCTTTTCCTACATAGCAGAAAGAAAACAGGTTTAGTGCTTAAACGTATACAACGAGTAGCCTTATACTGAAGCATCAAACCCAGAGCGCACTTGGTCTTCTTTTTCGGTCTTCTTGAGACCAATAAGAGATTTAACCCATTTCCCTGAAGCACCCATTGACAGTTCAAGCTATATGATCTCAACTAGCTCAAAAAGATGTCAACTTGGTGAAGAGAAAGGCAAGTTTTTTCCTTTTACTTAAAGTACCCAAAGGACCAAAAACGCAAACTTTGGGTGAAAATGAAGAACCTGAAAATGAAACCAGAAAGAAAGAGAGAAACGTGGGGGGGGGAGGTGGGGATTGTGGGTTTACAAGAGTCCAACCGCAGCCTTGTTTTGAAATTCAAAAAGAACCAACGGATGAATGAGGGTGGTTTTGATGTTTGATCCCGCCCAGAATGTTGCTCCTTTTTTGTACTTGTAGGAACTGTATTTGGGGTTCCCAGTCCCACGCAGTGTTTTGTCATGAAAAGGCACGTCCCCTTCGTTTTTCTAACATGGAAGGTTACAAAAAACCACAAGTTGTTTACTGCAACATAGGATCCCCTCTAGCCGGTGCAGTAAAGATCAGAGCTTTTGTTGTTACAGTGAAACAGTTGAAATCTGTGTGAACATTTCCAGTAATTGGCTTACGACACTTGTATTTGTATGGATAGTGTTACGTCTCTGTTCAATCTAGCCTGCTCTTAAACTGAATTTTCATTGTTTGCTAAATTATGATTTTGGTCCCTCTATTATGTTTCGTTTGAGGATTTAGTTCTTGTACTTTAATTTGAAATAATTTGATCATCTATTTTTAGGGTAACTATAGGGTATTGCTTTTGTGAGTCCATTAACTATTAAAAGTTATAAAATGATACCACAACTATAGGATATTGCTTTGTTGAGTCCTGCGACTATTAAAAGTTACAAAATAGTCACCAAACTATTCATATGTTCCAAACACGTCATTTTCCATTAAAAAATTAATTGTCGTCTATGCTAAACGTTAACCTATTGACTGAGATATGATAAATTCGATCCCAAAATCGTTTGATTTGCATAATCGTTTGAAATAAGATTTTATCATATCTTAGTCAGCATGTTAACGTTCAACTTAGACGTCATCAATTTCTTAATAGAAAATGACAAGTTTGGGATATATGAATAGTTGAGTGACCATTTTGTAACTTTTCATAGTTATGGGATTCAACAAAGCAACACCTTATAGTCGGAGGACCATTTATGTATTTTACCCCTATTTTATAATGTCATTTTCTTAGATAATTCTTTATAATATCATCGATAATCCAAATGGTGAAACACTATTAACTATTTCAATAAAACACTGAAATGTTTTTATTAGAAAAAACTCTTCTAACAAAAAAAATTCATGTTAATGTGTTGAATTGGAAATGATATAAAATGACTAATGACATTTTAAAGGTAGACGAACAAAATATCAAATTATAATATAAAGACTAAATATCAAATTTAAGAATAGGAGAAGGACCAAAATCATAATCTACCATTATTTTTAAAAAGGTTGAGAAAAACAAAACAAAATTAAATTCTAGGTTTAGTACTTGTATTATGCATAAGTTGTGGATTTAATATACGCATTTTAATTTGATGATGTTTAGTTGTACTTTCAAGATTTTAAAATTTTAGTCTTGATTTAAACAGGAGCTATAAATCTATTAAATTAAATTATATCATTAGTCTTTATATTATACCATATTTGTGATTTTAATTCTTGTTCTTCAGTTTGACAACTTTAAGTAATACAATTTAGTTATATTATCTTTGTATAACTTGAGTCAGGATTAAAATTTTGAATTTTAAAAAGTAGAAGAACTAAAATTGATCAAAGTGGAGTACATGGACTAAATCCATGGCTTATGAATAGCATGGGTACTAAACATAGAATTTGACAAAAAAAATTGAAAATGATTGGCTTAATGCTGGTAAGTATTCACGTTACTACAAATCGAACTTTATTTTTTATAAGCACCACAAATAGTTTTTGAATTTTGCAGGTAGGTTGAGAACTCAAATTTCAACCTCTGTATTTATATAATTTTCAAATTGAAAAGATAATCCTCTTGTTTCTTTTAGATTTAAAAATACACAAAAATTGATATATAGAATGCTACAAATCCTGGTCAATTAGTATAATAAACTCAGTTTTTAATTAATTATTTGCTTTAGCAATAGAAATGGACAAAAAAGCATGAGAAGAAGTCGATGGTTACTTGGTATCCTTTTTAGTACAGCTGAGAAGGGATTAATTAGGGTAATGTAATTGTTCTGTTCAGGCTGTTTTGTTTGATAAAGCTGCAACTCAGTGAAAATGAGCTCTTGAGTGAAGATGCCATGTAAAATGTGAGAGACAAAGACAAAGCAAACATTAAAACTTCAGTTTTGCTTCTTAAAGAATGGCTTTGGTTTGGTGGAGCGTTGGTAGGAACAAATTGATTTTGCTGGATGTTGATGGTTCATTTTTTTTAATGCTGGCATAGAATCGTAATCGGTGAAATAATAATTATTAATTGATAATTTTCTATGAAAAGTAGTTAATCATAGGGAAGAAGATAGAGAGTGCGTATATGTTGTTGAAGATTTGATCTCCTTCTTAGTCTTAACTGAAGATATTTATAATGACCCTTAACTTGTGTTGTCAGACATATAATAATTGTGACTATTTGTAAGTTAACGGATTAAATAAATATTATAATCAAATCTTGAATTTCGTTCTAATATGTCACGTAGATCTGTCAAAGGTCTTATCCATGCACTATGGTTATCTCATGGACTTGTGCCCGAAAGTGTAGACTTCGTAGAGGCTCTAATAAGAAAAGGGGTCTATCTCAGGGTCTTGGCTGACAGGGAACTGACAGTTTCCAGAGGCTATCTCTGGAGGTATAACAAATTGTCTCTCTTTTGATGAATGAGTGTCATAAAGTAGTTTGATTTGAGACTGACAACGGAAAGTATAATGACATTTTTTTTATTTTGTTGAATAACATAGGCATCTCAACACTCTCATTCTTAGAAGAGATGGATCGTTTCCATTTTTAGAAGAGTCTGATTTATAGGTGAGATTATTTCTGTGCTTGACAAAGACATCTCAATACTTTGACTCGAACGAAGGATAATAACCTCAAGTGTATCGACGGAGGATGCATCTACTTCTCAAAGTCGTATAATGGTAGTGGATAACTTTTTATTAATGGGGCAGATGCATCTCAATTCTCTTTTCAACATATTTTGGGAAAACTAGAGGTGTCTTAGAGCCGGTTAAGGGGTTAAGAACAACTTTTGCAGAAGGGAAAAATAATTAACTTCAGATGATATTTTTGGAGGCATAGGCGTGCTCGGAAGATAGAGAGATATTCACATATCGAGTTTCGACACTCCACTAGAATGGAGGCTTTCATGTTTTAGGATGTAGTGTGGGACATCTTAACACCTCTGGATCAATTAGAGGAGGCAATTCAGTTTGTGGTAGGATGTAATATATATATATATATATATAATTTCAATTAATTAACTGATAATCAAATTTTGAAAAAAAAATCTTAATATATAATTGAAATATTATCAAATTAATCCATCGATTAACCGTTTGACAGGAGACACATGAACCATGCACGACGAACAGAGAGACGTCATACAATCTCAGCGTCTTCCTTAAGGTCACCGTACACTTTTATCTTGAACACTATAACTGTTACCCTAATTGAGAGAATAAAAGATTGGATTCAATACATAAAAATTCTTTTTCTCAATACAGTTTTGCCTTGAATACATTGGTAGTTTAAATTCTGAAATTCATTCTAAAATAGATCTTAAAAATGGAATCTAATGGGGTTGGTTTACTGTAAAAGAATACAAATACCATTACATTTCAAGGGCCTTCTTCCTCCTTATCTTTATGATCAATGGCTTCTGGGTTTTCCAATGAACTTTGGGTCATATTATTATTCCCATCATCAACTTGACTCGCAAGTCTACATTTGCCCCCTAATATAATATGCTTCTTGCAAAGCGAATCATCGGGTTTATGTGTGTTTTTGTCTATAATCTCCCTCACCGACATGCTTTTAAAATGCTTCTTCACGCTGGCTGAGCTTATTTTACGAGTGGAAACCGATTTCTTCATCAAACTGGGGCAACGGTCCGCCGTAACGGAAGGATTCGTCATAGTTAATGCCCTCATGCAAGGTGGCGGAGGCAATTCTTTGGTTTCCTCCTCCTCATCTTCGGCGGTTGTGGTGGCTTGTTCCGTCGTATGCAGCACATCTGAAACCGGTGAGCTCTCCGCTGTTTCAGACGAATCTTCTTCTAAATCTGGTTCTGATCTCCTCCAAAACGCACAAAAACCGGTGATTATAGCAATGGTTGCCGCCGTGACAGCCACGAAGAGGGACAATGGCAAAACCGGATGGGAGCCGAAATCACCAGCTGAAAAATCAATCCTTCCCATAGCTCCAAAAAATTTGAAAACATTGGGATGTTTGAAAATGTTAATTTGATGTTGGTGTTGGTATCATTTTTCTTTCTTCATTCAAAGAATGAAATTGCTTGAATTAAGGAGTGCAAGGATGGCACGAAAAACAGCTCTCCAAATGCTCCATTTTTGGCAAAGCAACTAATAGGATAACTGGATAAGGTCGAGATTAAATATTATATGCATTACAAAAATGCATTAAAAGAAATAACAAAGTCATGGTTAGGATGGTGGATTGGGCGACATGAAGACATATACAAGTATAACAACTCGAGACCCAAAAAATAAAAATTAAAAGATATTTTATTAATAAATTAAGAGTATAATTTGAATAAAAAATCTGACAAAATACCGAATTGGCACTACAGCAAAACTGATATGTAGTGGCGTTTTTAGCGGCGTTTGGAAAGAAAACGCCACAAAAGTTAAACATATAGCAGCGTTTACAATCGTAGCGCCACAAATTGATACTTTAGTGGCGTTTTTACAAAAAACGCCGCTATAGTGTGGTTTTTTGCGGCGTTTGTTAAAAAACGCCGCAATATATCGGTAAATTAGCGGCGTTTATACCACAAACGCCGTAATAGTGTTAATCAATAGTGGCGTTTTTTAACAAACGCCACAATAGTGTGATCAATAGTGGCTTTTTTTGTATAAACGCCGCAAAATGTTAAATATATAGTCCTTTTTTTCTCCTACCCAAACCCTAAAATCAATTAAACTCTTCTTCCCTCAAAGTTTCTTCTCTGGAACAACAATAGCTCTCCATATAATGTTTATACATATATCAATCAATTTAGTTGATGTACATTAGAAATGAAATATGTAAAATCAACTAATATTATCTAAATAAAAGGTAATTAGCGGCGTTTATATCCAGAAACGCCGCTATAGATCTACATGTTGTGGCGTTTGTATCCAAAAACGCCGCAAAATAGTAATAT